CAACAAAATCATTTTATATTTACCCTTTGTCATTACTAAAGCTCCGATCTTGAAATGAATAAACTTCACGTATCCAAAATTTACAAGAGGAAAAAGCCCAATTTACCTTTTAGTTTAAGAATTCGTTATCCTATTTCCTTTGTTCCAATTTATGTGAAACTATTTTTTTTTTTTTTACGTTTTAAAAAGAATGATAACAACAACAACAACAACAACAACAACAACAACGGCCCAGTATAATCTCACAAGTGAGGTCTGGGGAGGATAATATATACGCAGAACTTACCCATACCCTAAGGAGCAGAGAGGCTGTTTCTAGGAAACTTTCGGCCCAAAAAGAATGACTATTTTTTAAATATAATTTGAAAAAAATTTAATTTAAACTTCTAACTCTACCCTTAATGAGAATCATTTATAATCATATAAATAATTTAGATTCTTTTTTGACTTATTTAAGAACATAAATTCTACCAACCTTAATTTTTCTTAAATTTCATATTCAGTCAAACAAGTTCACATAGATTAAAACGAACGAAGTATCTCGCTGCACGAACAAGTGATTGAATGAAGCAAAACCATGGCGTTGGCGCCCGTGTGTACAGAAAGGTGATGAAAGAGTTGGTGGGCCCTACATGTCTGGGGTACTTTAGGGAACAGGTCAACCTAGAAGAGTCCATGTGCTATACCCAAACTCAAATTAAGAAAGTAAAAGGGTCCCACAAAGGATAATCATGTGACCCTGTTGCTTTGTCGGGTTTTGACTTATTACTACCTTTGTCACGCCAACCGACACGTCCACTCTTTATTGTATGCTTACTTATGTCTACCATTTATTCTGCAAAAAACTCAATGAAATTGAAATAGGACTAATTATTACGCAGTACGTACTATCATGGGCGAAGCTAAGGATTGTTAATTATCAAAAAAAATTCATTGCAGACGAGTTAAATCTCTCTATAACTTTTTTCGTATATAATAATAATTTATTATTGTAACTAAGCTTTTTCGGAATCAATTTTCATATTATGTTATTATAATGCATCCAAAAATATTTGAAACAAACGAGCTTGTTATAAAGAGGTTTTGACTATATAGATAAATATATTTAGATTTTAAAGATATATAACATATATTGAACATTATTTATGAAAGAATTTCTTTTATTTTTTTAAGTTTGAACACTTTTGAAGAAATTTTTATCTTCATCACATACTCACTCCATACTACCTTCTCGTCAACACGTAGTACTAAACTTGAGGGAATTTATCACGGGGTAATTGAATGAAAGTAACTTATATAAGCACAGCTAATATAATTTTTTGTCTTTTAATTCATTTTAACATTTTAATATCAAGTAATAAATCCATTTTGTTGTTTATTAGTGTTCACTCCGTTAAGTTGAAGTGTTCAAATGGAAAAATATAAGTTCATATATAGGCTTTACAAATCGGTACAAATTTAATTGAAGTGACCAGGAAACCATTACGCCTAAAAATTAATATGATCAATTTCATTATTAATCAATATTAAAAAATTAATCCCTTAATATATGTGAAAACAATTGAAAAAATAAATTAAAGTAGACATGATAGAGTATTAATCGCAATACGTTTTTTATGAACTGTGCGCATATTGTAATTTGGTACTAGTTCGTACTGTCTAAACCAGTGTAACTAAAAGCACATGCCACACATGACTCCATATTTTGGTTGAACACATATATTAATGCATATGTAATGATATATGATCTCGTAGCTTTACGGTTAAACACAGGGCGAAGCTATGTTGGGTCAACGGTAGTCAATTAAATACCTTTTACAAAAAAAAAATATTTGTTATTAATTAAAAAATAAATTTTGAATACCTTTGCATAACCCATTAGCAAAGTGTGTTCAAAACTTCAAAACTTTTATTGAATTTCATGATTTTGTCACTGGTTAAGCATAACATGAGTACTGGTAATTAATGATTTCAGTAGTGGCCTAGTGGACAGACTCTTCATTTAATATTTGAACATGACAAAATATTAAAGTGAGTTTTGGGGATGAACAGTAGACGTGGACCTGTCTTCTTGATGTGTTTCAATATTTAAGGTTATTTTTCTTGAATTGATTGGACATTGCATATTTGGCAGTTAGATGGTACTCCTTTTAGTCGAAAATTAGCTATTTTTTTTTGTTGTTTTCGCACAAAAACGCACGTATTAAGAAATTTACCTTTTAACATTAATTAGCAATGAAATTGGTCATATTAACATTTACTATCTTCACATAAACACTTCTAACACATACTTTAACATTAATTACTCCAAGGGCAATGGAGGAAAAAAATAATTAATTCATTCTTGAAATCTGAAAAAATTACTTATTTTGAACTACAAGAAAAAAGCTAAAAAATCACTTATTTTGGACCGGAAGGAGTATTATCCTTTTTGTGAAGGAATGCATACTTAGATTGACCTCTTATAAAAAGGGACAAAGAGTTTATCAACTTTTCTTGTGCGTGTGCAAGTTATTTTTGGAAATGGCATGAATTTCATTATAAAAATTACAGACAGGACATGAGTGACTACGTACTCATTGGTTAAAATCAATTGTAAAGGACAAGAACTTGTGAAATTTAGACCTACAACAATAAAACCACATGCGCTGTCTAGACTTCGTGTACAATCTACTTCAGTAACTAATTAATACTAACAAACATATGTAGGCAAAAATCTGAAAGATATATATTAAACTAGATGTTGTATCTCGTTCTTGTGCTATTTTTCAATAATCGTTATGTCTTGATCAGCTTGCATGCATGTATCTTCTAGCTCTTGAAAGAGCAAAATTACTAGTGCATGATTATAATTTCATGATAGATTTCGACTATAACATTGATTTAGATCTCCTTTATTTTTTTTATTTTTTTTTGTTGGACTAGTTACTTATTACGAACGGACTGTGATACTTTTTTTTCGAATTAAGCAATTCGCCCAGGCTTTCGCCTTTCGTGATAGTAACATTGCTTTCTACGCCTAGTTTACGAGTAATAATCAAAAGCTCCAGATCATGATACTGAATTTGCACTTTGATAAGTCTTTGCAGGGAGATGAAGCCAAACCCGACATATATATATATATATATATATATATATATATATATATGCAAATAGGCAAGAAGTGCTTATTGCAGTTGAAGAAAAAGAGAATGAGTGCAAATTACACAATTCAAAGTTTCTAGCAGAACATAGTCTTAATCATGTGATTATGGATCAATTAACCGAATCCCATTTAAGATTAACAAAAAAAAATATTATTAAAATCATGTTATTCCCTAAACATTAATCACAAGAATGCCTTCTGTCGGACGTATCTTTGAGGAGATTATGGATGGCAGTTTAATTAGTTGGTTGGTATATATTAGAATAGATACGTTACTACTAAATTATGCATCTATTGAAGAACCTGCATTGATCTTAGCAATAAACTGAATACTCCATAATATTCTTGATTATATTATTCTACTGAATAATATTATATTCTTGATTCTCTTTTTCGACTTTGATAATGTATTACACCCCTAATTCACGTTGGACATGAGAACTGAAAACTTGACCTGAGAACATGGTTTCTCGTGTGCTTTAGAAATAATTACTTATGTTGGTCTTTTATGTGATGCACTTTGATTGAGTATGAAGTTTTTTTTTAAAAAAAAAAAAGACAGTTGAAATTTATGGTCTAAAACAATTAATTCATATTTGTATGATTATAATCATCTCATAAAAGATAACATGAAAATTTTAAAGTTAAATTAGTTTTAAATATAAAAATATTAAAAACAAGCTAAAAGAATGCTTTTGGGACGGAGTACCTACTACTCCATTGCTTGTTCAAAAATGGATGTTTGACTGATAAATGTTTGGATTGCATTAGAAGTCTGAGCATGCATGCATGTAAGCGTTAAATTAAGTTATGCTTATAGTGGAAACTTTCATTGTTCATCTGTTTTTCATATTCCCAAGAGAAAGATACATAATGCATGGGAAATGAGTTGGATTGATACAGAACCTTGCCGTTTTACCCGATATATGCATGAACCTATATATATATATATATATATATTACCTTTTCACTGGATTCTAGGGGTTTGATTGATCCAAGCTTTAATCATGTTGAATAGATAAAAGGGCAATCCGGTGCACTAAGTTCTCGCTATGCGCAGGGTTCGGGGAAGGACCGGAGCACAAAGGTCTATTGTACGTAGTCTTACCCTACATTTCTGCAAGAGACTGTCTCTATGGCTTGAACCCATAACCTCCCGGTCACATGACAACAACTTTACCAGCTGCGCCAAGACTCCCTTCAATCGTGTTGAATAGATAAACAAGAGAATGAACCTAGCCATCACATTAATCAAAATTATCTATTTTAGAGCTATTTGCGTATCGCGGGTCAATGTATTATTAGTCCTGCTTTAGATTAGAAAAGGATTTAATTAAGCCCATTGTTAGTATAATAATTTTTTTACATTATCAGTGTATTTGTATCTAGTACAACAAGTTTATTTTATTTTCTTAGTTATCAAATTAATTAAGTTTATAAAAAAACAGTTAATATTTGTTTGTTGTTGGTTTCTCTAATTAATCTGTTTTTGAAATCAATAATATAAAATCTCGTGTAGCACGTTGAGGTTATAATATATTACTACATTGTTTCTAAATACCCGCTAATCTGATATCTCAATAGTGACCAAACTTACCTTAGCGTACCAGAAATTATTTGTAAATTTTAATGGCTTAGTTTCTTACGTAATTTTAATGGCTGAGAAGATTTTTGAAAATCTTTTAGAGTATATTTGTAAACAATTGTGACGCAGATTAATTTTTCAAATATGGTGTTAGGAAACTTGACTAAAGCTCCCCATATTTGACGTTGCAATAAAACAAAGTTACCAGTAATATATAATGAGATAAAAAGGAAGACAAACGATTTTGTTTTAAAAAAAAAAGAAGAGAAATTACATGTCCTAAAAGAAAATGCAGTAGCTGCGAGCTTTAAGCACATTATCTGGATTACACTTATACAACAATAATAGAGCAACAAAATAACTAGAAGAGGAAATCATATACTTATTCAACACCTAAAATTACAGCCACATTTGATGTAGGGTATTTCTCAAACAAAACATACGAACAAAACATTAATAACGTAATTAATTATATGAGAGGCCACTCGTCCAGTGGTTAATCACTCTATTTCTTACTAATAATCCACTGATTAAAAATTAAATCCTCATTTGTCTTTAGACATTCCCTTGAGAAAGTCTTTTGTTCGAATTCCTATCACCTTTGCATCCGATCTCTTCATAATCCTTAGCCTTTTGCATGATTCAGTAAACATCCTGTAAATCACGGTTTAATATATTCATTAGATTTTTTACCTTTCCCCACCAAAAGATTAAGAGCGAACCGATGCACAAAGTATTTCGCATTAACATTGGGTCTGGAGAAGAACCGCACCCTAAAGATATGATGTAGACAGTCTACCATAATACAAGCATTAGTAATTGCTTCAATGCTCTAATCTTTTTAAGTTACCGAGCTCTAAGTTAATAATTGAAGCAGTACATATTCAATAAATTTCATAAGATAAATACAGGGTTTGAACTAAAGTTACAGGCTTCGACCAAACCCATAGTTGATGGGCTAGCTATGCCCCTGCACACTGATACAATTTTATCGTTACTCCAAGATTCCCTTCTACTAATACCAAAAGATCAGTTAAAAGGAAAATAATACATATAAATAAAAAAAATAGATTAAGAAATATTCAAGATATAATTGATTATGTACTAGGACGAGATAGCAAATTAAAGTTGTCTAAGGGGTCGTTTGGTAGGATGCATTAGATAAAATAATGCTTGCATTAGCTTTGTGTATTAATAATACCTTGTTTGGTAGACATTTTGAACCTATGCATTAGTTATGTAAGCATTAGTTATGTAAGCATTAGTTATACATCCTATTTGGTATTATCATATGCATAATTAATGCATAGAAAATCATGGTATTAGCAATGCAATGGGTTTTAATGCATGTATTAGCTTAGTTAAAGACAAAATTGTCCTTCAAAATTTATGCTTGATTAAAATATGCTAGTTATTATATTGATGCAAGTTTAAAATAATTCAAATAGTGAGAAATAAAATTATATCTCTAGTAAATAAATAAATACTTAGCATATTTCCTTTTTTATAAACAAATATTTAGTTCTATTTTACAATATAGGTAGACAAATCAAATAATTTTTTAAAATTTTTTCATTAAAAATATTTTTCAACATATGTTTCTTTTAAAAAGTTTGAGTGATGGACTAGTTTTGGGGGTATTTTTGTAAACAAGCAATTCTTTTAGAAATTGTGCAATGTTTTAATACATCAAACCAAACAATAGATAAGAAATATATTAGCATAACTAATATCACGATAACTAATGCAAGCATAACTAATATCAGTATTACTAATACACCATATTCAGCATTATTCTTATGCACTCTACCAAACGAGCCCTAACAGTTAATGATAGTCCAAGAGAAAACGTGGTCCAGAAAAGCTTTTAATGTGATAATTACTGTTTGACCTGCTATATACATTGTCCTATGGGACATTCTTGTCTGATTCAACAATTTCATGAAAAAATACGTGTTTGTCGGCAATTTCTGACTTCTGGAGAAGAAACTGTGGCTGGTGAAAATCATTGTACAAACTCAGTTTCCCACTGTCCTTTCACTTTTATGTGGGGATACTTTAGACTTCCGGTCTTTTGTCTTCGAATATATTTTTGGAATTCTTATTTTTTTTTTTTAAATCAATGAGTTTGATTTATGCTAAGTAGTTTAACTTGGTAGGATCGGACTTATCATACATGGTTGAATATTTTATTGATCATAATTCAGGGATTTCTTCCCAAAATTTGGGGTATCTTTGGTAAAAAGAAAGAATATAACCTTTAGTATTTAAATCAATTCTTTTCTCTCTAACAAGTTTAGTCGTAATGTTCAAGTCACTAAAGACGGATTTAAGATTTAAGCGGGTAAATTTTCAAAATAGTTACAGTATATAACTATGATTTTTTCATTAAAAACAAATAACTTTGTTTTCTTATATAAAAATCATAAAATTTTCACTTATTCACATAAAAATCATAGTGACCGAGAAAAATAAATTTCTGGTAGTATTTTCTTATTTTATGTTTTTCTATTTTTTATTTTTAATTTAATAGATAATAATTCAATTAAAATAGGAGAAACATATATTATTAGCAACTCCAAAAAATAATAGTCGATAATTATATATATATATATATATATTATTTTATTTTTGTTTAGCGAATGCAATTAATTAGTTTCGGTTCATATTTATTTTATTTTTTTAAAATAGAAATGACCCAACTCAAACCGGCCCAATACTCATATACATATATTAAAATAATATTAAAATTTAATCTTTTCCCGAAAAAAAAAACTTAGTTTGGAATGTACGAGATTCTGGTAATAAAAAAAGAGAGGTATAATTAGAGAGCACTTGAAACAAAAATTCTATAAATTTTAATGAAATCTTGAAAAGAAAAAAGGAAAAATAGAGGTATCGTGATTTGAAAGATTTACTTTGAGTATTATTTTAATTTATATATATGGGTATTATTATTTATTAGATAGAAAAAAAACAAAAAAATTGTGGAATAAGAAAATAATACTGAAAAGTTGTATTTTTCGGTTAGTATGATTTTTGTGTGAGTTAGTAAAAAAAATTATGATTTTTGTATGAGAAAACAAAGTTATATGACTGTGGTGAAAAAAATCATTGTTGTAACCATTTGTGAAATTTATCCGTATTTAAGCACTATGAGTTTAATCTTAAAATTTTTAGCATAGAACCCACTATATTTTAAAGCAATAGTTCCATATCTACTATTTTTTGTAATTATAATAAATTTATACTTCGCGCTAAAAATACTAGGTTCAAATAAACTCTATACCTTCATTCTGCATTCGCATTTTAACTGTGTCAAAATTATCATTATTAATAGCAGTGAAAATCCTACCAACAAAGTAATACTCCCTCGTCGCATTTTAACTGTCGCAAAATAAGAAGTAAAAAAAAAACTATTTTTAATATATTTGACTAGTAGAGAAGTGAACTTACTCCCAGGGAACGTCGCCGAGAAGCATCCAGTCTCCATCTTTGTCCTCGTATATTGGAATGTACTCTGAACTGTCTCCTTCTTTCAACGCTTCGCCTGTCCATATTTCCCACCAATCTCATTTATTATTCCCTTTGTCTGACTTTCAAGTATTAATTTAAAAATAGATTTTCAGTTTTGTTTGTTTATTTTTGCGTATCAAGAAAAAAATAATTTATTTTTCCTATTTTACCTTTAGTATTAATTATTATTTTTCAAATCCATTAAGATTATACACTAATTAATATGAGTATCATGGTAAATTATATACTTTATTTATTATTCTTAAGAGGTGTGCTAAATCAATAGTGGATAGTTAAAAGTGAACGGAGGGAGCAGTGGCGGAGCCACACCCTCTTCGTCGAAAAATTACACTGTTTAGTTCGATAATTTTTTTTAGAATATGTACATATACTATATAATGACACTCCTTGACTTCTTGGTGAGTTTCTTTCTTTATATTTTGACTCCCCTTAATGAAAATTCTGGCTCCACCACTAGGAGGGAGTACTTGTCACTTTTAGCATATTAAGAGAAGACAATTTTTTTTCTGTTATACTCATAGTATTAATTACTCATTTCAAATTATTTTTTCAAATTCATTAATAATATGCATCAATTAATATGTGTATCATGATAAATTATGCACTTCATTTGTTTTTTTTAAGGGGAGTGCAAAGTCTATAGTGGACAAGTAAAGATGATCAGAGGGAGTATAAAATATTGTAGTAGTAATGCACTAATTTCACTATGATCTTTTTAATTTTCCTTTTTTCTTTTTAATTTTTAAGTCTAATTTATACTTCGCTTCCCTTCTGCATTTTCGTGATAGTTTTTTTACTTCCATTTTTCAAATTTGTTTTGAAAATGCTTTTCTTGAGTCGAAAGTCTAATAAAAATAACTTCCCTGTCTCATACAAGACAGAGGTAAAATCTGCGTATACCTCGCCTTCCCATCAACTTACAATTTCCATCTGTTTGTGTGTTTGCAATTCTGCATGGCATAATTAATAAACTAAAGAAACAACAAAACTTACAAATGCCATAGCAACCAAAGAGCTTTTCAAGATTCATGACAAATTCAGAGTAATCGTTTTGAGTCCCCAAATCAACTTTTCTAAGAAAAGGTACACCATCCATGCTAACTTTCACGTACATTTTAGAGCTATAATTCTTTCTCCGATAAGCACAAACCGGCGGCCAACCAACAACTCGATTTTTGTTGTGACACTTGACATCATCATCGTCGTTAACGTTGCTACTATTTCGATCACTGTCAATATCTGAAAATACCCTTTTCTTTTCACCTGGAATTCCCAATCTTAGCTCAGTAATTTCAAGTTCTGTCGCCATTATTTCTTTTTCGAGTCAATTTTTGAGTTAGTAATAAAAGCAAAAGGGTAGTAGTTTTAATTTATAGTAAAGAGAGGAGCAATGCCAGGTCAATGAAGGCTAAATGGTCGGTCACATGAGATAAAAAATGGTAGGGAACTATATGTTACCTAAAACACTAATATGGACCGGCAACTTTCTAATTTTATATGGGAGAAAAATCGTACGTTGGGTTATATAAATATTGGAGATTTAGTGAGTAGTGTTTGATATTTGTAAATAAAAAACATGCCATGTGATCTCCCTGATTGAAGGGTTTGCCAATTTATATGCATATATTTAGACACACACATGCGTGTATATGTCTGCAAAATAAATACACCGAATTTGTTGTGTAATTATTAAAGTGAGGCTTCGAGAAAATTCATGGAAAATATTGAATAAATTTCACAAATTATTATATAACTATGACTTTTTTTCACCAAAATCATAACTATGTTTTCCCACTCAAAAATCATATTGACCGAAAAATACAACTTTTCGATAGTATTTTCTTATTCTAGATTTTATTAGTATTTTTTATTTTCGGAAAATACTACTAGAATGTTGTATTTTTCTGAGTTATTGATAGTTCTATGATTTTTGTGTAACAAAACATAGTAGTATATAACTTTGATAGAAAAAAATTATAGTTATTTGACCATTTGTGAAATTTACCCGAAAAATATATAGTGAACCGTTTGGTTTTGGAGATCATAGAGAATTAGAATGCAAAAGGAAATGAAAATACCCGAAAAGAGACGTATCAAAAATTAAAAGTAGGTTGTTTCAACACATGATGTGATATATATTATGAGTATATACTTATGAGAGGATAGGAATGCAACTTATAGAAGTTATTATAGTTATAGGTCTTACATTATCATTTACTAGTCACATTGACATATTCAAATTAATAGAAGTTTAAATGCAACTTATGGAATAATATATATTGCTTCTTGTGGCGAGTACAAATCTGTATGAACATTTCCAACGATATCCTATCAAAGAACAACTACAACCAACATTCAGAAACCATAGTATCTCTAAAAAGGGAGGCAAAAAGTTTAAGTCAAAGAACAATTAGAATATCATGCAATTCTGTTTAAAAAGGAATTAGAAGCTATTTCGTTGAGAATCTGCCACCGCTATTAGTACATAAAATCATGCATTGAATAATATATCCTTGAATCCACATATTGCTCTAATTACTCTATTATTTAGCAATGATATAGTAATAGGACTTATGCAAATTAATGAAATTTTTGACCGTCTTCCTTCCAAAAGAGAAAAAAAAGCTAGAAAAAGGGGCATTTCCCTCTAATGTTGATTACTACTAATCATGATCCTCAGATATCTTCTTTTTTTCCAATGGGAAGATGCTCAAGCATTGTATCGACCTTATAAAAATAGAACCGAGAGAATAAAACAATTTCTTTGGCATTAATTATAATGTTGTGCGCATTGCACGGGTACTAATACTAGATTTTTTATGGAATAAAGGGCAACTCGATGCACTAAGCTCCCGCTATGCGCGAGGTCTAGAGAAGGGCCGGACCACAAGGGTCTATCGTACGCAATCTTATCCCACATTTTTGCAAGAGGCTATTTCTTCAATTTGAACCCCGTGACCTCCTGGCCGATCACATGACAACAAGTTTACCGGTAACGCCAAACTAGCATACGCTTCCTTAGGATAGGACAAGGCAATGAAACAGACTAATAACATCGTCCTACATAAGGACACATGTAATATAGAGTTTGTCCCCAACACATTGACCCAAATCATAATGTTGTTTGTGATCACTCCAAGTCAATCACATACCCATTCTGCCACTTGAGGCCCCTACCCGACTACCAGAGTCAATTAAAGAGTTTAACTTCTGGGCAGACAATGTACAGTTTTTTACATGCACGTTCAAGTAAATCTGAGCTATAACAATATTTATAGTAATCTTAAGTTGGTAACTTGAATAGTGCATTATATATTCTTCTATGACCATTTCAAGTCAATTCGCTGTGTAATCTTTACATTTGATTAAACTTTTAATTAAATTAATTAAAAAATTTAACGTGCCCAACGCAGAGTAATTTTATAAACAGTGTAATATATCACATTGTGGGAAGTTAACCTCTTCTTTCGATTTCAGTTCAGACCATCAATTAACTTATTACTTCCTCGGTCCCATCTTATGTAGCATATAGTTTCCTTTTTAGTTTTTCCAAAACGAATAGTAATACATTTTTTTTATTTAAAAATAATTTAATTTTTATACTTTTTACTTTTATAAAATAATTTATTGCCATACAAATATTTAAGGCTTATCGCAAACCTTAAATTTCAAAAAGAATTCTTAATTTATTTTCTTAAACTCTGTACCTAGTTAAATAATACTGCATAAATTGCGAACGAAAGGAGTATATGAAATGTGTGGCTAAGATAATGTTGGGAAGCCAAGTTATTAGGCCCTCGTAGCACGTGAATGGCACGTGGGGCATGCATTCAAATAAGTAGCTATTGAAATAATGGAGGTTTTCTCATGGAGTTTGCTTTAGCCTTTAACTGTTAGAAATATGTCAAAAGAAAGCTTGTGGTTAAAGGAAGAGAAATCACCTTAAAATTGTGTCAAACATAAGTTGAGACAGAACCGAGTCCATTCACGTAACTTCTATAGGTTTCACAGTACGTACATAGAAAATTATAATAGTAAAATCTCCTTTCGTTTTCACTGAAATCCACGTACATAATGACGACACATAACGTTAATTATAGTTTTATAGATGATTCACGAAGCGTCTAGTACGTAAAATTGCATGGATTTGTTGTGTTGCGAGACATGCATATATACTACGTACGAAAAGATTGATATTCTTGTTTCTTGAAATCTCTGCTTGTCTTCTACCGTTGTGCTGGTGCGTACGATAATTGATAGTAGAAACCAAATAGGTTTACAACTTCGCCACTCATTATAAAGTAGAGAACGTGGCGGATTTAGAATGTCAAGTATGAGATTAATTGACAAGTGGGATTTGCTCGGTTGGTAAAAGCACATCCACCCACGATTGTTAGGTCCTGGGTTCGAGTCATGCTAAAGGAGAGGTGTGGAAACATTATAGATCCTCCTAACTAGAATTTGACCACCAGTTATTTTTCATTGTTGATCATCTTTTTGTCCTGTTGTTTTTATTCTACTTTTATATGGCTTTTGGTACTGCCCCTTCTTGTCTATATTTTCATTAATATGTTGCTTATACTTTCCTGAGCCGATGGTCTATTGGAAACATCCTCTTTATCCTCACAAGGTAGGGTAAGATCTGCGTACACACTACCCTCCCCAGACCCCAACAGTGTGGGATATTACTGGGTATGTTGTTGTTGTTTTAATAAAAAAAGTATGAGATCAATTAAATTCACCATATTAATTTTTGAATCCATATTTTAAACACACTTGAAACTTGAATCTATTAAGTTTAAATTTTGAATTTGGCCAGCTTTGGAAGTTGCTCTGTTCTTATCGTTCCATTTTCCAGGACCCTCCTTTCACTGCTCATCAGTTCATGCACTTATGCAAGGCTACAGATAGCAAAGGCACAAAATCTAATTCCTTAATAAGAAACTGATACTCAGGCAATGTGTTCTATATATTAAAAAATGGAAATGACACTCTGGCAACGTTTGGCTTGAACTAAGCTCTTTCCGATGGCCAACAACCATTGCATCTCCTGCATAATTTAGCTCCTCCACCCTATGTGTTTACATGCTTCCAATGAGGAATGTTCGAGAACTCTCGGAGCTAGAAAATCCCAGTTTGTAATAACTCTTTCTTATTTTCTCTTATATATAAAATATAATATCAACCCTTATTACCAAAAAAATATTAATAAATGGAGCGCATCTGCTCGAGGCTCGAGCCTCAAGCCACCTAAACACCGCATAAAACAGGCTAGAAAAAACACGCACAAAACCAAGAAAGGGAGAAGAAACTTATGTCTAGTTAAAGCTTCGGATAGACAGACTTATGACCTTCGATTTGTCCAACAAATCATGGAACATCATCCCAGCAACTCTTATCAATTTTTCACTCTGAGTACTAATGCAAAAAATTTCACATAGAACTGCGTTTATACATGAAATAATGCTCGACAAAATGGAAAAATACACACGCCTTTGCAGACGTCTATGCTAGTGGTATACAAGATCAAACTTGAAACACCTCCGGAGAGCTCACTTCAATCTGTAAGTTGTTGAAATCGCATTGCACTTTGCCAAAGAAACTCTTTTTCTGGTATCTTACCAGACCCTGAGCAACCAGAGAATGCTATACCATCATAACAATATCAGATCAAATATACACATAAGCCAACAAAATTGAATCCATGGGTGGAGAACTGCTGCAAAAGGACGTCCATCCAAAGCAAAAAATCATCTGATGTCCCACAGCCCTGGTAGGACCTTATATATTCAACTGGAACCTTTGCATTTGGTGTGTAGGCGCTCAGAGGTTAAACATGCGGTTCCAGTTAGCTTCTCCAGTACTCTTGTGGACAACTTACTTCAGCATGAAAGACAATTAGATGTGTAGATCCTTCAGTTTGTCCAGCTTATCTAATCTCCCATTAGGTGAAGGCAAAGCACAATTTTCACCAGAATTCAAGATGACAACTCCATTTTCAGGGGTTTTCTGTGTCTGATGTGTAGCAACTGAGCTACGAATGCCTTCAAAATATGTTGAGAACGGGAAGTATTCGGCACAGCGCGCTTTCCACCCTACATGAGTGCGTCAAACACATCACTCTCCAGAGAATTATTAACTATCAAATGTAATTGTCTGTCAAACAAAAATGAGGATTTTGGGTCTCCATTTTGCTAAAAAATGTTAGCACATATAGGTAAGTAGCATAACCGAACTATCACTCAAGACCCATACACCCTAATGAAAATGGCATAAAATGATGAAGGGACATACTATTACTAAAAGACACAGAAAAATGAAAGACAAGAATAAGCATGTATTCAACTTAATTTTCTCTCTTTTGGTAAAGTAATAAGGAAGCACTTAAACTTCAGACAACAGTGTGTAGAATAAAGGCTTGAAGAAGTTGCGACTACAGCTAAAAGTCATTTCTTGTAGGTGTCGCACTTAATGGGAATGGGATAGTTACCGATTTTTCTCTTTGGGTAATTGTTTATAAATACCTAAAATCAATCAGAGAAAACAAGCAGACAAAAAAAAGACATTTTTACATTTGAAGATGTATTTATTTGAAATGAACAAATTTGGGTGATCTATCACTGCTGCCACCCTGGATGGCCACAATTGACTAGCACGAGGTTGAATTTACTACTAAGAATAGTTTGTTGGATAATTAAGCGTTTAATATAATACCAAAATGCAGATAAGAGGAAACAAAAAAAGAAGCATGTTCCCAAAACGGGCCAAATAATTCCAATCAGATGGAATGCGAATGAGGTGTCGGCCAACTTCCTCGAATAACATGCACCTTTTAGAAGTTTACTCCTATTTCAATGCTAAAGTTCAGGGAGATAAACTGGAGGGGGGGGGCAGTTATCTTGACTTAAAATCTCGTAAATGTTCGTGATGCTAGAGAATACCACCAACACCCTGATATTCATGCTGTGGAACAACAATGAGAAATATGGATATGACTGGTCAAGTGCTAAATGTCTATCAAGTCAATGATATGCATGTCCCATAACAAACCCATGATTTTCATGGTGCAGAACATTAAGGAGAAACATGAATATGACCAGTCAAGTGCTAAATGTCTATCGAGTCAACGATGCATGTCCCATCTGACCTAGGATGAATTAATTTGAACTCTCCTCTATCTTTCTTAAAGAACCATAAAAAAAATCTCTTTAAAAAGATGGAAGAATCGGAATAGAGCAAAAAGGAAACATCTCTGCAAAAAAACATAAATGAACAGGAACAGAACAAAAGCACTCACTTTCTAAAATTTAGCAGTTTGACATGGACTGTATCGTTTTTCAAGCCACAAAGGTGTATTGGTCACAAAATCCAAAACAAAATGAGTGGCTAATTTAGTTTGCCCCATTAAGATTGCAGAAATGTTATGTATGTATTTTTTTTATCTTCTAACGAAATAAGAATAGCATGCATGATATGAAGAATCAGAACAGTATGAGATGGCAAAGAGTGAATAACTTACTCAATGCAGCATCATGGTCATTAAAGGTTGTTTCCAGGAGTTTGTGAAGTGAGATGCAGTCTTTCAGTTTCCATGTACTATCAGCTCCTCGGTCTCCGTCTCTAATAATTTGGAGAGAAGTTAAAACAGAACCCTTAAAGTTTTGATAACAGATACAGAGAAAGCTATGTGATATNTGATAACAGAGAGAGCTATGTGATAGACTGCTAATTAATTTCCAGTACTGCAAGTCCTTACAAAGAAACAAGATCATTAACCGAGTCTTCAATTAACTTGACAGCCTCAGCCTTCTTGTTTGGTTCCAGAACATACATTAACTCAGCCACTGCAGCCCTGTGCATCAATGATTCTGCACACATACAACAAAGGAAGTCATTCTTTTGCAACTGAAACATGGACCGAGAATGTCAAATCCATTAATGCCAGCCGAAAATGCACCTCGATGCTTTTCAAGGAAAATATTGTTTGCATCAATTAGAGATTTCTCGTGCAACTGACTGAAAAAGCCAACAGAAACAAATAGGTAACTCAGTCTAATAACAAGGATAAATCACTGTCTAATAAATGAATATCTAAAACGTCAAAGATAGACGGAAAGTGGATGGTTCAAGGGAACCTAAAGGTAGGTCGCTCGACTTCTAAGACACGCCACACAAGTTTTTCAGCGTCAGTTACTGGAGCAGGCAATGCTCCTACTTTATGGAAGAATTTTATCTGCAAGAGATCACATTCTATATCAAGAAAGATGTAGAATCCTCAGAGTTGCAAAGAGTTCAACAAGAATTTGAACCCAGTACAAACAGTTGGCGAGGCAAACGAATATAATCTACACTACTGCAGAAAACATTATTCAAAAGTCTTAAACAAGGTAAACATACCAAGCAGAGATGAGATTTTGGATTATCTGCATCCAACCTCACCAGATGCTTTACAGCCTGGAAAAGATAAAAATCAAAGAGAACGTTTATAAATGGTCATACAGAAAGGAAAGGACGAATCCTGATAGAGCATTAGATGGATAATTACACCAGAAAAAAGAAAAGGGTGGTAATTCAAGAAGCCCGCTAAAATGCACTGGAACCAGTACCCGGCAAAGATATACCATACAAAATGATATATAAATGGATAGAAATTTGAGTAAAATGGAAGAGGAACTTTTCTAACTGTTGAGTTACAAAGGACCTTACCTGCAAGGCAAGCAAGATTTTCTGTTTCCTCATGTTTACTTCAAACGACAGTAAATGTGTCTCCAAGCAATCAGACGAGTGCGTAAGGAGCAGCGTCAGGTACTTCGTAGCTTCGGCCAGAGGATCTTCAATCTGAAGGTTTCTCGGTATTGAGAAGATTTTATTCAATCAAAATATGCAAAATTTGGAATAGCCTCAAATTAATAAAGATTTGTTCCACCCATTTTATTGGAAACATAGACTCCAAATATTTAACATGACCTCACAGATATACGACGTTAACCACTCAGTTTCATGAACTCAATTTTCATGGAAAGTAAAAATTCAAATGGTGATGGAGTTATTCCTCAGCATACTAGACTCCATATAAAATCATTTCGAGTGTCTTGTAACATCACTAGGGTCATACAGCACTACTTATTGTGTCATATTGTGCATATATCAGACTGGAGTTTATGAAGTCCAAATTCACCATGCGTAGAAGATGTGACAGCACGTTACAAACAAAAAGTACCTGAGCCAATTTTTCACCATGTGGATCAGGATCTACAGGCTTCAACTGGCGCTTCCCCGATTTTGCAACGCAAGTGGAACTTGATTCCTCATTTTTAACTTCTGCATCCTAAAAGCATGCAAAAGACTAAGTCACTTCACACTAAGTTAATTTTTCAAAAGCAATAGGAAGCAATTTGAGTACTTTCTTAGCTCGGGCCTCCGCTTTCCTCAATTTTTGCCTTAATTTCTTCTTTTGAGAGGCAGGCAACTTAGACATCTCGTCATCTTCTTCAGCTGCTGACTTTGGAGGACAATCATACAGCCTCAGGTAACATCTAATTACAAGCAAAAGGATGCCCAAGGAAACATAATAAGCTTCACTCAGAGAAACGTTCAGTACACTAGCCGACAATCTAGGACAAAACATGGATACTAAGCAGAATCATTTCAGTTATCGGATTAGCAAATGTCTATCCAAACACAAGTTTCAAAGGAAGATAACACAATAACTGAATCAAGGTCAATAACAACTGAATCAAAGATGCCCAAGGAAACATAATAAGCTTGAGTCACAGAAACATTAAGTGAGCTAGTAGACCACCTAGGACAAAATGTGTATACTGAGCAGAATCGTTCCAGTAACCAGATTGGCAAATGTCTTTCATAGGAATACTTCGTAAATTTCAAGGGAAGATAGCAAAACAGCTAAATCAAGGTCAATAATAGCAGAACAAATTAAAAATCCAAGGTTCCTGAAGATCCAAACCTCTGACAATTTTAGCGAAGTCAAAATCAGTACCTGATAGCACCACTTGCTGCTTTGCGAAAATAAGCATGTGAATGGAGCCGATCTTGAAGTTTCAGCATTTCCACATACATGCGTAGTGTCATTTTCCTTAAGCAATAAGAATGAAAATCAAATTGGTCCTCTGTGATATCTGCATAATGCTTTTCCACTGCCAGAAATTTCTTTAAGGCCCGTCCAAGCTCGCGTTGGCGCAGATAACTTTCCCCAGATGCCAGTTCATACCTTTTCAAATATTCATCAAACAAAAGCTGCTAAAAGGATCACAAACCCAAGCAGATCATGATCAAGCTTTGTGAAGAGACTTACCACATGCACTGCATATCGTAAAGGTTGTTGTGTTGATCCCCATCTTTTGTGAATAATAAAGCCGTCTTTTCGGCCAATGCTACCTTCAAATACATCCAGCATAAAGAAATGAAAAGACAAATATAGGAAAAATGCATAGAAATTGAAAATTACCAGCAACTATTAGAGAGATTAAATTAAAGAAAACGAACATAACAAAGCTTTGTACCTGATCAGCCTGAAGCATACGCTTAACGCATTCACTGTTAATATAGCGATCCGCAAGATCCATACACCTGGCTTCATCAGCCAATGCTGCAGCAGCAGCCAAGTCACCACTATGTTTTACTATGCGGCTCTGTGTCAGAGAGAACCAAAGTCCAAATACAAGTAGAACTTAATTAGACACATGAAAAGAGGAACTTTTCTTGATAAACTAGTACTTAATAGATAGTGTGTGGGTGGATTTTACCAGGGATATTGCCAAATATCAAAGTCAACAAACAAATGGTAACAGCAACAGGAACGAATTATGACAGATTAGAAAATATTTTGATAAAATAGATGAGCAAATATACCTTTACAGAGTATAAATCTATAACAGTAGGAGTGTGTTCTATTGCCTCATCAATTTTTATAAGAGCAATGTCATACTGTCCACATCTATCATAATGCTGCAGCAAGAAAGTTTTTCAGCAATAAGGAAGGTGAAAAGGAACAAAGAAATGGACATGAAAGCTCTGAATATTTATGGAAGATGTGAGCAAACCTGAGCCAAATAAAATAATATCCACATAAGTGTTGAAGGAGGCTCTTTTCCCTCGCTGCAGCAGGGAGAATAATGTTACATGTAGAGTAGAAGAGTATATTCTAACATATAAATATATAAATAAACGAATCAAAATCCACAGAAACCATAGCATCAAGGTAAGCACTGATTACACCTTGTAGAATTCTAAGACTGAATACCCTTAAGTTGATCTCAATGGAATCAAAGAGCATCTAGTTTGATTGCTAGAAGAGATTGAGAGCGTGATAAAGGATAAGAAAACCAAATAATCATGCATGAAAAAATAAATAGTAGCTCCTCAAAATTCATTTCTTGAAGTTGTATTGAGAGTGCAACAACAACAACAAACTCAGTGCAATCCCACACGTGGGGTCTGGGGAGGGTAATGTGTACGCAGACCTTACCCCTACCTTATGAAGGAAGAGAGGTTGTTTCTGATAGATAGTATTGAGAGTGCATTAGTCAAATTTGAGAAATCAGCTCTGATGTTGAAGTTTTATTGTGATACATGCAATTTTATCATGAGAATCACTTTGATTTTGGTCACACACACACACATATATTCATCTCTTAGCCTGAAACTAGCAAAAAATGAATTATTTATTGCAGCTCTTTAAAGTAAAAAATGTAACCTGAATTTACCTAGTAATAAGAAACCTATAAACTAGCGTCCAACCCTGAACTGGTCTCAAGAAGGTCAAGGTAGTGCAAGAAGAAAAGCAAATGAGAACTTCTTACTGATCAAATAAGATAAAGGGGGCAAAATAAACAATAAATCAACTCATGGTAAATGGTTTATTCGGTTTGACCAGCAGTTTGGTTAAGCCTATTATGAGTTTATGTGACATGCAATAAGTGCAACACGCATCGGTAAGTACAGACAGACTTTGCTTACCTCTCGGGATATCCACCAGTAGTCTTAATTGACTGCTCCAACCTCAGAACCAATTCACCTAAAATACTGGCCTGTAACAGATACACAAATAATTTCAAACACCAAAATAAGCAGGAACATAATAAACCCATGCATCCCCCGTAATAGTACATGAAGGAAGATATAAGCTAACCTTGCCAGGGTGATTGTACAATGGATAAAGATCAGAAAACAACGAAGGAACACCCTAGATATTCATCACCAAAAGACATGTCAGCTTAGCTCTAAAGACCACGGAGACCAAAAAGTATTTTAGCCAGTAAGTACCTTTGCTAGAAGAGGTCGAATATAACTCTCTGCTGCCTCCCGAAACTTGTCATCTCTGAGAAAATCAAGTGGAATTCTCTGAAAGAAATAGGAAAAGAAAGTTCACTGCGGATGCTTATGATATTTCCACAAGATTGCAACAGGTAAGAATGGTGATAGACTAGTAATAAGATGTTTGCATGTCAAGTTGCTGAAGACAGAAACAGGAAATCTGTTAATGTCCTTTTAACATTTTAAAAAGGAAAAACAGTAATCATGAGAGAGTATAGCTTATACTTCAACCGTAATAAGGTCCAAAGAGACAACAAAGCAAGGTAACAAGATCAGCTATCACAAAATATACACAGTACTTTGCTGACAGCAAATATAATTAAGGAACTTCCTTAAAACGATTCGACAGGATATGGAAAAGAAAAAATAGCCACTGCCCAACAATCATTGGCAACAGAATAAATTCAATGATTATTGGACAGAGCTAGACAGCTATTATCTTGAGAGTAGGCAGGATAAAGCACACGTTACCTTTACGGCAGAGGATCTACTATATTGCTGGGCAAGTGACTTGTACAAAGATTCTAACTTATCAATTTCATCAGAACTATACTGCCCTTTTTCAGAATGCAGTCCCAGACATCTTTGTAACCCCTCGTAGTATCTGAAAGTTAAAGAAAGAACATATTACAGGTACAGTTCATTCTTCAGCTTCGGTAAAAGAGGAGCTAACCATCTATGTCCATCCACAGAAAAGAGAAAGGTCAAAATGACAAGAAAGACACATGCATGTGATTAAGAAAACAACAAAGAAAAGGCCAAGGCAAGAGCATTAGAAAGTAGGACTAAATACATGGAGCATCACCCCAGATCAGGTTCAGAAGGAAGAAAAGGAAGAGAACGGAATGCAACGATTAGCTTCTTTTCCTTCTTGTACCTTGTACCTTGTATACAACAACTGTGGAAGGCATAAAAATGTCATGACAAACCTGAGGTACCAGAAAAGATCACCGTGCCTTTAAAAAAAATTACTATTTCTTTGAAAAATCCTAAAATATTATTGGTAGTTCTGGCACTCCTAACAGCTCATCCATTGCACCAGCAATATGTGTCTAACTCAAAGGTAACTTGAAGTTAAAAGAAGAAAACAACTAGATAACAAGTTTCTTCAACACATTGCTTGAGAACTGGACCTTGAATCATTAGCTGAAACAACCTTCCAAATTATATTGGTTACTTTGATCTCCATTTATAAAGGACAAAAAGACACAATAAGCCAATGAATTGCCTACTTCTGTTTTATTTTTGGTGCAAAGGTGAGTTTGTAAATGACATAGAATCTCTGTTGGGCATTATAAAATCTTCGTAAGAAGAACAAAAATTTACTCTTGGGGCTTTTTGCTTTTTGTAAGTTGTAAAGATGGCTCTTGATGGTAGGCTAGAAATATGAAAGCCTATTATTTGCTATATTTTAATTGTGTTTGAGCTTAAAAGTAAAGAATTTATACTAATTAGGTGTTTCTTATGTGCAGGAGCAAGTTTGGATGAAAGCTGATCAAAAGATGACAAGTTGAACGCAAACCAGGAAGTGAAGAAGTAAGAGAAATAATGGAAGCTGTTGAGATGTGGAACATGTACATTCAACGGTGGCTTCATTGTTACTAGATGTAAAATTGCAAGTCATTTTGGTGGGACCAATAATTATGTAATGATGAAGCATAAGGAAAGAGACATAAACTAATAATGGAAGACAAGCACAGAGAATGGGAAAGGATTGTGCTTTGGATTTAAAGCTCCAAAAGCTATAACGTGAGGCGGAAACGAATCAGAGAAAACGGCAGCAGAGTTTGACATTGGACAAGCCCTCTGATAAGTCTCACAGGCACGGTGGATGGTGCGCTGCGTGGCGCGTCGCGTCTGTGCATTTTCTTAGAGAGGGTAGTTTCGTCCGGGCTCGTTCCTACTTGGTATAAATACAATGACAACACGTATTTGAAAGGACTTTTGATCTACGAAAGATTTGGGAAGCAACTAAGGCAAGAAGACACGAGATTTCACCAAGATTTCAACCAACGATCGGTGCAATACGGGAGTTTGTATCTAATCAATTGATGTTTTCTATGTCTTTAAACCTCATTGAGATGACTTTTTCCATTGCTATGGAGTAGTTTTCCCATAGGGTGTTGACAGATATAGTGTATTGATAATTTGTTAGGGATTCGATTCTTGACAATTGTTTGACTTAGTTGATGGAGTTCTGAATTATATTGTGAAGTCGGTTCATTATTTTCCTTAATCGAAAGAAGAGTTTCATATTGAATTTCTTTACATCTTAAGCTCTAGTTTAAGTTCGTGATTCAACTAGGTAATCGAAAGAGTCTTTTGAATTATTAATCGAACCAGAAAATAGGAAAATATTTGTGAGAAGTTATCCTTTAGACTAAAACCATCATTATGTTCATAGCAAGTATTCATAGTGCTTCAATTGGATTATTTCTGGGGATTAACGTTTAATCGAAAGAGCAACCTTAACTTCAAGTGTAATCTAATTATCTGGTAAATTCGCGAGAATCAATAGTATTATAGAGTGAACTACTTCAAGAATTGGATCCCGAGTCAAGTGTCTTGCACATGTCTAGTCAATTACCCTTATTTCTCTTACTGATATTTTTGTGTTACTCAACTCTTGTCTTCCGTGATCAATTGATAATTGCTTAAATTTTAGTAGTTACTTATAGTTGATAATCATTCCAATCAAGTGTTAATTTCCCTGGATAGTAATTAAAGGAAGATTATTCAAACATTGTTCAAATACAATCCCTGTGGAGACGATAATTAAACTATACTATCTTTGACTAGCGAGCAATAATTTCGTGTTGTGTTTTGCGCTCGTCGGCTCTTAGCACAGACTTTGTGCTAAATATTCAAATAAAACTGTTATCTTTCTCAAAAAACACCTTACATACACAGAAATATGAAAACTCGAGTTCGTTCTTATCATTTTGCATTAAACAGCAGAAAACTAATTATGAAGATTCCTTCTACTTATCAGAATTTACAGGAAAGAGCACCAAAATGAATACTGATTTATTAACCAAAGAACGACCTAATCCTAGAATAAGCGAAAAGATGTGCACACAGAGAAAATTACAGGTTACCTGTAAAAATGAATTTATAATTATATACAGCATCACCGAAACGTCTCAGTAATTTATGACAAACAAACTGAGATAATAATGCACCTGTAATTGTCAGGATTCATTGAGAGCAGCACTCTGAATAATCTTTCACCTTCTTCAAAGCGGCCAAGCTTCAAAAGAAGTGAAACCTCTTGCTCCTTGTAGCCCAATTTGTCAACCTATTGTGGCATAATAAAGTCAACATCCGGGTGTAACTTCAAACTGATTTCTTTAAGACTGCATTATATGAACTTACAATCTTAGACTCTTTCTTGTGCAACTCTTCAAGGGCCCTCTCAAGAAAACCATATTCCTCCAACAGAGAGATCTGAAACAGATTACAACCAAGTGAAGTTGAAGCTTTCAGAACAAAAATAAGATAATTCTTAAGGCAGTTGATAACAAAGTGCTCCAAAAACAAAAGGCGTTCATTGGTCTAACTTGCAAAATGCATAAATCACCACATAAAGTAGTAATTTGTTTCACATATTAAAGAGTTGAAAAGCAATTGTAATTTAATTGAAATAAGACCAGTGAAGTCTCGTTTAAATAGGCATAACCTGACGAAAATTAGTTCAAACCCCAAATTCTACTTATAACCTCAAGCAGGACGCAGAAATGTCAAAATCAGGAAGATCTTCGAAATTAGTTCCTTGTGGGTGTTTAAGTAAAGCAAGTGAATGGTTTTTCATGTTTAATTTCACAGCTATGCATAGCAGCTTTTATCCAAAAACATTTTACAGGAGCTGAGGGCCTTTCAGGTTTTTTGAATAGAACTATATCAGAAAACAAGGAAATAACCATTTATCCAGAGTCAGTTTTTAATGATTAATTATGTATCTCAGGGTCAGGCTTTCGGAATGTGTTGCTAAACTAGCACTACAATGAGCCAAAATTGAACCAGATGTGTTGGTTGAAGGAAAAACCTTCAGCATGCTGACAGTAGGGCGCTGGAAAGCACCATCCCAAAAAACTATTCTCATGAGATTCCAGCTCATTTTGGGCAGTAATAAATAAAAGTACATTAATCTTGCTGGAAATTTTAAGCCTCAAGGTACAAATCCTAGGTGGTATCGAGCAGCAGAACAGCACTGGTATATGTATTGCACTAATCAAACACACTTCCCATTGTTCCCAAATAAATGAAAAATTAGCAAGAACAAAATCACCAGAAGCATGAGATAGATACTCCCAGCAGATTGTTACCTTGTATAGAAGCATCTCTCCATGTTCACACCGTTCATTTTCTGGAGGATAATCATCTTCAAGAGTCCCTTCATATGCCTCAAGGATATCAACAGCTTTTGATCCACTAACATACAACAAAATGAAATGCGGGTTGATGTTAAAAGTCAATGTTACTTTTTGAAATGCAACATCCATTATAAAACAGTCTAACGGAAACAAAAAGATACAGTACCATTACCACCAGCACGGGACAATTGTAAGCAACTAAGCATATTCAGGCAAGGGAACAGCAACAGAAGATCACATGATTTGATCGCACAATATCTTCACATTATTCCATTAGAATATACCAAACTCCAATTCTTGTGATGCCTCTCAGCAATTAATAATAGTTCTATTTACTGTTTCTCCACTAAAGAGGCTGGTTATTACTAAAAAACCATGCCATTAGCACTTCGAGAGACTACATAACAAGGACAAAAGCCATGCATCTTCAAATTTCACGAAACCTAAGATTTTAACTTTTCTGTTCTACTGAGTAAACAAATATTACCTCATTTGCTTTTCAGTTCTACTGAAGTAAACAGAGAATACAACTTTTGTTCCTGTTCGCTCACCAAAGACCACCCCCCCCCCAAAAAAAATCACTGAAGTAAACAAATATTTCTGTTCTACTGAAGTAAACTAATCTTATCCTAAACATTTGCAATGTGCGACTATGGCCTACAACCATAGTTGAAAAAAAGGGAAAAGAAAATGACAAACTAAGGAGTCAGATCACTGCCAACAATCAGTCATACTCTATTTCAAATGCAAACTAAATCAAATTCCCCAATATGGATGTCCCACATCTCACACACAAAATCACTGTGTAATGCAGCAGTTCTGCAACTCCTCAACTAGATTTGCATCAGACATCAATATAGAGAATCGCCAGGAGAAAAACACACATCTACCAGTTGTACTAGCTATTTCTATAATAGTAGAGCAAGTTACTTGGAGTTTAAATGATGAGAAACAGCAAAGCCAATCCAATTCATGCGATGATTTGGTTTCAGAGTGAGCAGTTGCTGTCTCGTTTCAACAAAACCTGACAAGTCACGCATTTGTGCCTGCAAAGAATACGCATAACCCATAAGTTGGACAAAGAAGCACGCCAATGGAAAATGAAAACAAAACATAATGAACGTGACAGAAGTAAAATAACAGAGCTGCTACACTATACAAAAAAAGCTCTTGCTCACCAATCTAACCAAATTTTTAGATGCTAACCATGCAAAAAACGCTTTGGCATAGAAAATTATGATATCAAGGACCCGGAACAATTGAAGCTTACAACAGCATAGAAGGAACCTTTAATGCCAGGGCTGCAGCTTAATTTGGAATGCCAAAAGTTACTGGGATCGTCGGATCCATGACATAAGAAGCATTAAGCAAGTGATCCAAGAGAATATACCACATGAATGTCACATGATGAAATATAATACAGCTTTAAGCACGGAACACAAGAAATAGGATTTGCATGAATGCTAAGACATTATAACTTTACGAGCATAAGCAACCCTCTTAATCCACTTGCTGGTGAAGGGTATACAGTGACAGTGCCATCCAATGCTCCAGATACACATCAGCGATGAGACAATAACGATAAATGTGCTTCAATTGTATGTGCAAGCTCAAAACCAGACAAAAGAAAAGGTTAAGCAGAAACTAAGGCAAATTCTTTATCCGCCTCCCTTTTATATGAAAGCTTCTTATGAATTCTTGTGACTTGCTCATTGGGGAGCAGCTATTTAACGACAGTTTAAGATATGCGATTGAGATGCAATATAACTCTAATCTTTAGCAACCATGATATGAGGCTTAGCCTGATGACCTTGAATGAAAAACATCTTAAGTGCAGGCAAATTCTCAGAAGGGAAAGAAGAATGTTATTAAGATGAGTCCAACCTGTAAAAGAGATAGATCACGTAATATCTCAATGTTGTCTGGATCAATTCTAAGGGCATTGCGGTAGCACTTAATTGCTTCACGGTACTCTCTATCAGACCGGTAGAGTAGACCATAAACATGCCAACAAACATGACTCTTAAGGTCATTCTGCAAAGAGAAGGGCAGTTAACCCTGATATACATAACACATAACAGTAGAAGTTAAACTAGGAACTTTCCATTCCTAAGAGAAAAAAGGGAACTAAATTAACTCTACCTTCAATCCAAGTCGGACAAGTTCATATGCTTCTGATTTGCGGTCCATGCAATTCAGCGTTAATCCTTTCATTGCTAGAGTTTCTGTAACCAGATCATTAAGTAAAATGACAGCAAATAACTTAGAAAGTCTCAGAAAAAAGGACAGTCATTAAGATACAAGAATACAAGAACTAGTGCTACTTTACTCAAGCTCATCCTGATTACTTCACATCCAGCAGAAAAATGGTCTTAAAGTGAGAGTTTGAAGAACTGATCTAAAATATATAAGGATAAATTTCATTTGGCATGCATATTGCCTATGGTTTCATATATATTTTGTTATCCATCATACTTACCAGGGAAAAGTAAGGTTGCAATACTTCATCTATTTACAGATTACAAATTAACTTGCCAAGGACCAATTAAAAATGGAAACGGTTGTTATTCAGGAACACCCTTGCCAATTGGAGTTTTGAGCGGAGCTTAAAGCCTTTTACACAATATATATCTTTGATTATTAATCAAATTACTGAATATGCAAAAGCATTCAAAAGATAATGTAGATTCACTACAACAACAACAACAACGACCTAGTATAGTCCCACAAGTGGGGTCTGGGGAGGGTAGTGTGTACGCAGAGTCGCAGACCTTACCTCTACCCCGATGGGGTAGAGAGGCTGTTTCCGAATAATGTAGATTCACTATCAATCAAAATAAATAGAAGGGAAAAAAAAGGCAAAGAACACATGTTTGAATGCAGAAATAGAATTCAAAGAGTTAGCCATATCATATTTGAATGCAGAAATAGAGATCCAGAGATTAGTTCATCTCCCATACTCAGCCTTTGGTTTTACTCTATAATCTCCTCTTGATTAAGGACACTAACTCAGTCCCACTATAAGAAGCAATGCAACTAAACTATCTGTAGGTAACATACGAGCCATGGAATATCAAGCCAACCTTGACATAGCAATAGCGATTCAGACTAGAAGATTTGACTATAACTAGTTATGCATTTATTGGCTCCAATAATACAAGGAAGTGGAGGCTGTTGATTGTGTCCCTCCATCACCTTGATATCATTAACGCAAGCAAAAGAAGAGGAAACTGCAGCACTCAATTAAGTTATCTTGATAGGTGTTTTATATTTGATACCAAAAAAAACTCGTCGCTTCTCCCAGACAGTGATTCATGTATCACTGCTTTCAGGCACTTCCACTACGAGAAGAATGCAATACTTCATGAAGCAAGTAACTCAATCTATCAACCCTAAAACGGTACACATTGGCTTTTACAGTTGAAGGAGCAAAAACCAAACAAACTGATATTTCTATCTAACGTTTTATGATTTTTAATCCAGATGTGCACCAAGTAGAATTGTACATACCTCCATGGTCGGGAAATTTCTTGAGAACAGTGTCAGCAGCTTTCAGACCTTTCTTATACTGCTTTGTCTCATACGATTTCTGTAGCAATTGAGAAATTCGACTCCAAATTAGTCATGTTTTGGCCATTCAGTAATAACGAAATTAGAAGAGAAAAAAAAGGTTGGACATTCTAATATGTACAAAAGTCATAACGATTTAAATGGAATATTTCATGTTAATGTTAGTCATATGATTTAGTACGAAAAAGATTATATGTCAAATCTTACTATATAAAGTAAGTATTCCTTCCGTCACAACCCAAAAGAAAAGACTGGATTTAGGATACAAGTCAAAGCATCTAACTTTCTGTGTGATTTTTTTCTGATAGATAAGAAAAAAGTTTTATTAATCAAAAGTAGCCTAAGCTTGTGCTCTGAAATTATAACAGGCGAAAATTCAGTTCCTATCTAGACTAGATGAGGTAACAGGAAGTCTTGTATGCTATCCACATCATATACAATTGCATTTTACACTGAAATATCAATAGAGAAACACTAAATTTTAGCCGGTTTACGTTCTCCTTCTCACTCTTAAAACATTTCTGATTCCTTCCCTTCCAAAATTACTCAGCATACACAAGCAAATATTCTCTCCTTTTTCTAATTTTTAACATGAATTCGGACAAGGACTCCTAACTTTGGAGATAAAAGTATATGTTTGAAAACCACATGCAAAGTACTATCTATCACATTTTTACACTAAATATATTTAAAAAATAATTGAAAAAGTTGGTTTTCGTCAATATAGATCCTCTATATATTCTTGATAAGGTATACATACCCTATTTATTCGGCTATATTATAACTTAATTCATTACAATATTGGTGATTAATCTGTAGTTCAAGAGTTCTTTAAATCTCAAGCTCATACCTACCCCTACTTAATGTAAATCTAAGAAGTAACAACAACAAAGCCTTAATCCTAACTTGCTTTCAAATCTAGAAACTGTAGGTCTTTCTACTTATCCAGAACAACAAAAAAAAAGGATGTAGATCTTTTGAAAAACTTTCCTTCAATGTGATTTTCAAGTCTACTTTGTTCCCTTTTATCACCTTCAATCATCATACTATCTCACCTACTAATTGGCATAATTGAAGGTCTACCCCGAACATGGTGAAACCATCTCAAGTGATGTTTGTCCTCAATGTGTGTGACTTGCACGCTGTCTGATCTTAACATTTATAACCTTGTCCAATCATCACGACCGCACATCCATCTTAAATTCGCATTACGACCAATCCTTCTAGCAAAAATTAGCACCTATTCTAGATCACCGGGCACAAAAGTGAACTGGCTTTTGATGAATGTCCCTAGTATATGCTTTCATACTTTTGCCTAAAGTTTCATTTTATGACTCTTAAGTTTAGCACCACTATAGTTTGCATAACTTTAAAAATATATCCCTTTATTCTTATGTTCTAAACTTCATACTCTTCGTGTCATCATTTACTCTTATTGTAATATGAAAACGATACACCACCCTATCCAGGCGTCAAAAATGGTTGTTTCCCTCTTTACTCCCTTGATGATTTGTAATCTCGTGGTTGAGAGCGGAAAGGTCTTTCCATTGGAACAGCTTCTTTTTCACACATCTAACTCCACGAATATAGCTAAGGTTTTTTCCGTATATATACATATATTTCGCCTATCCTGGATGTATTAGAATTGGCAAAAAAAAAAAAAAATCATCAACACTTGTATTGAGAAATTAATCAAAATAGCCTCTCAATCTCTCTTTGATCTGTATCTCTTTTTTATTTTAATAAGGTTGATCTCAGCTGTCTCCTGTCAAAACTTATTAAGAATATTCCTTAGTACACTTAACTTAGTTTAGTCCAAGCTAATACATTTTCTTTCTTCCCTTTCCGTATCCATAACTTTCGGTATAAGTCGTCTAAGATAATCCAAGCTTTGTGAATCGCCTTCTTGTGTTGGTAGTAACTTCATATGCCACTCTCTTTTTTGTCGAGCAGATTTGCACCAACTCCTCAGTCCACAACCATGCATGTGATTCTAGACCTTAAGAAACATCTTGAGCTTCATTTGTTACTCAACTTATAAATTTCTTGGATGGATAAAGGAGGAGGATTGTGGTAGGTTGAAAATTAGCATGAAAGGAGTCAATTTATCATGAATCCTCATAGTACTGACATGCCTAGTCAGTATAGTAGAAATTCCTCTAAAACAGGTATTTTGGACCAAATGAATCCATATTTGCCCAGCACAAAACCATATTAAAAATCGCCAGCGCAAGTTCAAATTCACGATTACACTACGATTCCTAATTTAGCATTGCAACTCAAATGCTACCTGCTCTTATAAAGTCAGAACTCAATAAACAGCATCGACAGATACAAATGCAATCGTCATAGTAAATCAGTCAATGAAGTAATTTAGCATAAAAACTAGATTTTTAACTGGAAGAAAGAAGACAAAGGAATTGAATTAAAGTAAATACGACCTACAAGCCTCCATTAAAAAACAATTTTTTTTGTGAGAGAATCGAAGAACTTACAACGATGAGTTTGAAGAGGTTGGCCTCTTTAGGAGGAAGCGACGCGCCCATTGTTGAACAGCGAAGGTTCTAGAGAGTGAGGCTGAATTGAGAAGGTAGAACGGAGATGGTGGCGTTTATCTGCTGCAACCCTACTGAGAGTGAGATATACTCAAAGTTGCAGCTCTCGGGCTTGGTGGGGAAGTCCGCAGGGGGTATTTGAGTAATTTCGTTAATTAGTTACTCCTGTGTTACGTTTATGTGAAACTATTTCTTTTTGGTCCGTTCCAAAAAGAATGAACCCTTTCTAAATTTGGTAATAATTTAGCTTAAAGTTACAACTTTATCTTTAATGAGAAGTTTTTATAATCACACAAATACTCTGGGTCCCATTTGGACTTGTTTAGGACCACAAATTCCAAAAATCTTATTTTTTATTTAAACTCTGTGCCCAATCAAACAGATTCACCACGGAGTAGTACATTCCATCTCTCGGGGAAATTTACTTTTCAATTTTACACTAGTTTGGAAATTTACTAGTTTACTCAAATGGGTAGGTGAAAAAAGGATGTTACTAAAATGGGTAAATTTCGAGATTAATTTTCAGAATTGTCTTTCCCTACTCTCAAATGCTGAATATAGTAAGCTAGCGTTGGACATAAATTTGATTAAAACTTTTTTTAAAAAAATTTAAAGTTACATTAAAAAATAATTTTTGAAAGTTAAGAATGTGTTTACACATGCATTTTATTTGAAACAAAAATTGAAGCTTTGTGAGTGTATAAAAAAAATTTACCCAAAAACTACGTTAAACCATTTTTTAGGAGCTTAATAAAAATTCAATATTTTTTCAAGAATTGATCTTATGAACAAATAATGTTTTCAAAAAAAAAATTGAATAAAAATTGCCAAAATTTATGGCGAAACAGGAGCTAAGTTTCCTTCCTAACAACAATTAAAAAATAAAACGAGCATAACAAACAAATAAGGGGGGAAGAAGAAATTGATGTTTGTGAGGGATATTGTTACTGACTTTTGGGGCCTAGACCAATTTGACCCAAAAAAAAAAATCAAGAAAGATAAGATCAATAATTCGATGGACATCTGCCTGGAGTTTTTCAAATTGAAAATTAAGGAGTTCGAGCATGGCATGAAAATGCAACATCTACACTAACTATAAGATGACACATCGCAAAAACTTTTATTTATATTCGCGTGGAATGAGTTATTTTGTATACGGCATGGAGAAGTAATGAGCGCTTGAATATTATTTTTTCGGGTTAGCTTTAACATTGACTAGTCTGGAGGAGCCATGCTACCGCTACAAACGAGTTTAAAATGCGAGCTCTCACCCTCAGGCCTAATGAGCAATCTGCAACCAAGAAAAATGAAGGTTTGAAACAATAGCATTCATGTTGAGATTCCCTACGCTCCAGACATATACTTGGACTCGCAACAATTCTTGAGCTCAGAAAGAGAATTGAGTTTGTTAAGCCAGTTGGTACCCTCCTAAAGTAATTGAGTTTTTGTACTATCTACAACAGGTTACAGATGACTACTCTTGGATGTTGACATTCGCTCAAGATATAAAAGAGACAAAAACAACCAAAAATGAGGAGCGGAATTGAAAAATTCGGTTAAGCAGATATACGTCTACTCTACCTCCCATTTCACGCTCACCTAGTGTTTTATAATGGTAGATGCCACAGCATTATAAGCTCGGTTAATTTCCTCTTCCGTCATCTCAATGGTATCATCACTGTCATATGCTGCAACATCTTTGGCAATGTCACCAGCTTTTCTGCTTACACGAGTACTCTGCTCTTTTATCTTCAAAAGTTCATTATCTTCTCTATTTCTGTACTCCAACTCATAGATCTGTTTCCAGGTCACAGCTTGTCTGCAAAGATCATTGTGTGGTTTAGCTGAACCAACAGAACTACTATCAAACGTTGCCAGCTCCTCAACTGCCCGAGGGACACATGCCCACTGCTCAGTTATTTGGCGAATATCCTACAGAGTTGAATAATGACGACCAACAAGCAAAAAACAGAGATTAAATGGAGGATGAGTCGGACACATTATCAAAATCTGGAGTAATGCAACTAATGCCAAAACCTTTCATTTCAGTAATCAATTTTTTTCTTTTTTATCTCTACAACTTGAATTTATCTGTATAACTATTCTATTATAAATCTTATAACAAAATTTCCAGTAAGTTTGTACCGGAAAATTAACATGAATACAGCTAAAATTCTTACAACATTCAAGGACCAAAACCGTGATGAAGTTTCTCCACAGGAAGCACAATATTCAAAGAATAGGCCGAGCAAATAAATCGACAACCTACCCTCCATTTCCTAGGACACACAATTCAACTTCAAATCCAAATCAAACACTTCTAGCCCTAACAATGACTGCTTACTCTTTCAAAAGTCAATCATCAGTCAGAATATCTGTTCCCTGTTGAAGTTATTCACTTAATATGAAAACTGTATTCACCCATTATGCTTAATGTTCTCACTTGATGGGACTCAAACTCCAAGTAGGCACAAACAATCAAGTCTGCTACAAGATGTAACTAAGTCATTTGCTCATTCAGCTCTATGTAGCTGTGCCAGCGCTCCAACTTCTACTAACACTTGCTTGGAAACCAGCAGTCTTTTGCCATCGTTTAACACCATTTCCAGTTGCTTAAGCACCCCTCTACACTGCCAACCATCACCAATACCACCCTAGTAAACCACCTATAATCCTAACGTGCCTCCATGATAGCCACAACATCTAATGTTCACCCTGACTAAACACACGACATTTGCTGGTTACAACCACCACATTTACAGGTATTTAATGTACTTGAGATTGAAGAATTGACTGCCATCACTCTCACAACCTTCCTCCATGTATTTAAGGTACTTGAGATTGAAGAATACTCTCAGAAACTATGTTGCTCGGACTGTCCGGAAATGTCGCCGGGTGCGTGCCAGATCCTCCAAAAGTAGTGTATTTTGGAGGATCCGACACGGGTGCGGCAACATTTTGGAGAGTCTGTGCAACATAGTTCATAAAATAAAATTTCTTGATGACATGACAAATTGCTTAATAAACGAAATTCTATCATGAAAATGCTCTTCACTAATATAGTATGGTAAAATCTAACAAAAAATCAATTAGATAAAAATTTGCAATCTAACTATTTGGTGTAGAGAGCTAACTATTTTCTTCATAAAATAACTATCAACAGCGGTAACTAGTTTGTGTCAAACATAAAATACTACTTACTTTATCATCCACGGCAATAACAACTATGTGCAAACAGTCCAACATTAGTAATCAACTAAGCATAACTCCCAAACCAATTGGGTTCAGCTATAAGAACAAAGAGTCCAACATCATCAACAACAACAACAATAACAAACCCAATATAATCCCACAAGTGGGGTCTGAGGAGGATAGAATGTACGTAGACCTTTCCCCTACCTTCAAGAAGGCAGAGAAAAGTCCAACATCAATGGTGCTAAATAATTTATAGCAACTGAATATGTTACCACNGTGTTCATATAGATTACTAAAGGATATCCAAAATGGCAAGTAAGAGACCAGCAACATAATTCTTAATCGGTATAAAACAAACATTCAATAGAAAAAAAAGGTGGAGAATTCTTGCCAAAAAAGATTTACCTGCCCTTGCTTAAGAGAATCTATGGCGTCCTGTAAACAGGTTAGAATTCCCTCAGCAGCTATTTTCTTCATCTCACTGGGCTCTGGCTGTATCAAAATCAAATTTGATGGAGTAAGAGAGCTTGTGATAAACAACTACATACAATTATGCAGGATTAAGTATTCATTCAGACACTGGACTCTTTCTTGCAATTCCACCAATGCATTTCTCACCTTCTCTCCTCCCTGCTCCCACCCAAAAAAGAAGTAACAAAATTATTGACCTATTCTTTGACAGAACTCCATTTTGTTTTGTTTTCTTTTTAATAAGACAGACACAAAGCTATTTCATGCTTAAATGAAGATGACCAGTCAGATTGAGAACACTCAAGTACAAGCCAACATCTGATTCCAAAAAATTAGATACATCACTTTACCCTTTCATCTTGATTCTCCAGCCATGATATGGTTCGATTAAGATCATCTATAGCCCATTTTTTCACTTTAGAAGGAGAAAACCCATCTTTTACCTCATCACCACGTACATCCTGTCACAATAAGATAATGTGAATAACAAAAACAAGTTCTGGACAGTTGATACATAATTTCAAATCTATATATTCGGTGAACCTGTGTAATTACAGACAGGTAAAAAATAAGTACCTCAGATGAAGGAGTAGTAGTTGTCTTAAAAGGTGAACTTTTTTTTTCTCTTTTATGAGATTTTCTAGATGTGGATGGTTTTTGATCTGCAAGGTCCAAGATGGGTCAGTTGTGGAATATAGACAAATGGAAAATAGGTTAAAGAAAAATCTCTCTTCTTTCAGAAACAGAGAAAAAGAAAGTTTCTATTAAAAAGAATGAAAATAAATTAAGACTTTGTCCCATGACTCCTCTGTCATCAGGTCAGCAACTTCCTTGACCTTCCGGCACCGGATAGTCATCAGGCCCCATAGTATTTTACGACTTTGCAGAGACCTGAATTTTGGTATGAAGTCACCCAGGCATGGTCATGGTCACTGCATGAGGAGGCACCCCTTCTCCAAAAGTTTAAGGCGCTAATTTTTCTAAGTTGCTTAGAGAGAGTCTTGGGTCCCTAGATATTCTATCCCTACCCGTGTCAATTTTAGGTACAAGTACCCTCTTGCCTAAGATCATTTAAGCTTTTCCCCGAAGCATGGCATAGGTTTTTCAGCACCATAGCTCCTGGCATTTGAACGCTAGCTCGAGTATTTTCTCTACCCCTTCTTACCCTGAAAAACTAGGGAAGCCTTATGTACTTTAACTCGACCATCTTTTCTCATTTGAAGTTACATGTTTCTCCCTACATTTGTATGTCCTACATAGGTTGGCCACTTAAAAATTAAGATACCTTTCATTTTCTTTATCTGAATTAGCAGTAGCTTCATGTGGACTGATTGAATAACATTGCCTAAGCAAGTCTCTCGAAACAGTCCAAAATTTTAAGGATAGTCACTTATTGGGACTGCAAAAAACAAAATTGCTAAGTCAACTAGCAGGTTTTGAGACAACACAACAACTAAGAGCACTGACAGAGGAGGAATCAGTGAGGAAAGCAGCTACTCTAATGGAGATTGAGGAACAACTCAAGAATGAAGAAATTGTATGGAGACAAAAATCAAGAGCTCTGTGGCTCAAAGAAGGGGACAGGAATACAAAATTTTTCCATCGCACTGCAAATGCACACAAGAGAAACAACAACATTGATCAACTAATGATTCGACATGAAGTAGTCGAGGATCCAGACAGAATAGAGATTGAGATAACTGAATTCTACAAGGAGTTATACAAAGAGCCTGAAGAGTGGAGACCAACGGTCAATTTCGAAAATAGCTCAAGAATTTCTAAATCAGAAAGGGAGCTTTTACAGAGTAACTTTGAGGAACAAGAAGTTTTGACCTGTCTGAAGATGTGTGCATGTGACAAGGCCCTAGATCCGGATGGATACACAATGGGTTTTTTCAGAAAGTGCTGGGACATTTTGAAGGAAGACATCATGGCGGCCTTCAACAACTTCCATTCTCAGGAGATGTTTGAGAAAAGCTTCAATGCAACATATATAGCTTTGATTCCAAAGAAGACAGGTGCGAAAGAATTGAGAGATTTCAGACTAATCAGTCTGATAGTGAGCTTCTACAAATTGCTCTCAAAAGTCTTAACCGAAAGACTTAAGAGGGTGGTAGCGAAAATTGTCGATGCTCAACAAATGGCTTTCATCAAAGGAAGACAAATAATAGATGCAGTGTT